TTGCCACACTCGATATTACTTCGGGAAAGGTGCGAACCAAATTACATGTACTTTATTTGAACACTTCAAATCTCCAGGACTAGATATAATTCATCTTAGAGTACAGGAAGAAGCATGCAATATTATATATTATCCGCTTTCATTGATATTCCAAACATCCGTAAATACCGAGAAATTAACAGGAGACTTGAAAAGCGCCAACTTAACCTCTATATTTAGACAATAAGGTTGCTTCAAAATATAGGTCAGTCTATCTTACCAGCGTCGTTTGCACGTTAATAGTTAATAATTAGAGTATATAAAGAAAGTTGTGCCGTTGTCATTTAGTGATTTTATGAAAGCACATGATAACGGAAACAACGAGTAGTCGTTATTTGACAAAAGTCGGAATGAAACGGTGTATACCACATGGATCGGTTTTAGGACCATAAAATTAATAAAATGTGTGATCTGAAGCTTGACGTTTTTGATGTTCGTTAAAGTTGTTGAAGTTATCGCGAAAAAAATAATTCCTATTTATTGAAACAGCGATTTTGACCATGGACTTTCGGACCTGAAGATCAATCCCTAGCAAGCACTTTAGATGAAGCTTTGAATGACATTTGAGTTTGATCTGCCAAATTGATCTCGAGTTATCACCAAAACACATTATGCGGAGGATATATCCCTATTGCCTTTGGCAGGCAACACAAAAAGGATTTATTGCAAATGTATTGTTGCGTGTTGGTGATAGTCAGAAATCGACGCTAGTTGGAATGGGAAAGAACGCATTTGTTTATCCTTTCATTGTTCTTCCATGGATGAACTAAAAACATGGTATGTGTACTCAGACAGAACCTATGGAAATGGAAGACTTCATTATACAATCTCCGACTATAGTAGAATCTACTTTGAACCTAACTCTGAACTTTAACATGCGATTAAGCATAAATTTCATTGCCTAGTATAGAGGAGTCGATTCGTAGTTATATAATTTGTTAAAGCGGGGTGATGGCGGACAAGTCGATTTGGAACATTCGACAGGGAGAATTCTTAATCATTTATATTGTAATGGTCATCAACTGTTGTCCACATTAATTATGAAAAGTCAACAAATAACAATTAAAAACTGTTTAATGGTCTAATTAGCAAAAACGATATTAACATTATACATACAATATTCTACAAATTAAAACTAACAAAACCGGCTAACTTAGGCATATATTACAGGTACACCCTGAGGAAATAAGAAATAAGTACATTTATATAGTTAAAAAATAGAAAGTGTTCAGATATGCGTCTCGTTATATTGGTATGGACATTCAGTATACACTTAATGATTATAACAGATTCGTGTTTTTCTAGCAGATCGTCTCTTGATTACATATTTAAACACTACTTTGATCATCTGATGGCAGTCCTCAAATCTATGTTTTCCAACACCAAGCATTTTATCTTTCCAATGACAGGGACTTGAATGATGCATTCTTTTGTAAATTTCCAGTAAATTCAATAGTAATAACCTTTGTCAATTTAAACGTTACGTTATAAAATCTTGTTAAAATAATCACCAAAATAAAGGCCAAAAATTTGTGAACAGCAAAACCATTTCTGAAGTTGTGAACATTGTTTAATTTAAAGTGTAAGAACGCTGCTCACGTATCCAGAAACGTTTTCTAGGAACATGCGCAAAAGCATAAAAACGTACAAGGCAATAGCATTTTTATTAGAAAAAAATATTGTGATTGAAATTATATTAAAATTAAAATTTTGGAAAAACACTTTTTTAACAAAAATATATGTTCAAGCTACTTTGTTTCGTTAACGCAATGACCGAAATAACATCATTACTTGAAAAACTGATTTGGTGTAAAATATTGAAATCTAAAGCTAAATGAATCAGGATAATATATATAAAATAATATTAATATCCAACCATCGTACCAGACTGTAACACATAATGCTTAAATCATTTGATTATAAATAAGCAAAATGTGTAGTTTCTTTCCTTGAAAAAAAAAAGAAAAAAAGAAAAACGTTTTTGTTTTTCAGTAAAAGATAAATGAAAGACAATTAATTTTAAATCATAATCTATACCAAGGGTAAGAAATTCCTCTGAATATTTCACACACTTAATGATTGTTTTGGTAGCAGAATGCAAAATACCTGTCAATGGAAAATAATCAAATTTCAACAAGTAAGGGGAGATAATGAAATAATACGTAAATATGGGGAGATAATTACAATAAACTAACACTGTCTTTAACAACATAGGATAACTTGAGAACAAATTAGATATGTTTTAACAAAAATTTTGTGAAGACTGACTAACTTTTTATTCCATTCCTTCTTCCCTAATAAGGAACTATTTATAATTTGCTGAAAGGGAATCAATTCTCTAACTATGCAAGCTTTCACTTTACCTGGTTAAAATGGTCATGGCAGCATAGTTTATACATTTTTAAATGCACATATAGCGAATATGGGAACCATTATAGGTAAAAGTTCAGTTTTGGAATAATGAGCTTCTTATTCTTATCTGTACGGATTATCTAAACATTTCAGTAGTCATGTGTGTACACCAAGCATGGTCTGAAGGCACAGTTTCTGAAATGTACCGCTGGTTCCTGAAACTGTATATACCGAATATTTTACAATCCAGCCTCAGTTCAGACCTTTAGAAGCCATTTTTCTTGCAGCTTCAGCCAATCACTCAGTTTCAACTGCTTAAACAAAAGAGATTTTAAATAGAATAAATGAAATATATACATCTAAATATGACCTGAAAAATATTATTCGGGTCAAAGTTATACATCTTTCAATATAATTGACATGTCTGTAAAATAAATAAGGCCATAATACGATTCATTTTCAAATATGAACAGAAAAATACTTCAAGCAAAAAGAATACCGATTCCAAATTTGTCTCCTCGAAAAGCATCTTATGATGAGATCTTTAAGCAGACAGCATAACCAACTCTAGCCCTCTAACACAGCAGGTTAGATGATAAGCTTAAAACAAGTAATTATTATACTAAATTCTACAGTAATAATACTACATATTTAAGGTGACCACGGCATCACACATTCCTTAACGTATGTACAAGACTTTATTTTAACAATATCTGACAATTTCATACTAATATCCAAGATTAAACAAAGACTAACTCAGCTTAAATTGTGAATTAGTGCTTCCCCAACAGCCTGCAATTCTTATCAGAAATTATGTCGGTATGAAATCATCTATCTGAGAGTATCTGATTAAAGCTAATTCTTTTGTTAGAAAAATGAATAAAAACACATGAAAGAGGAACTCATGCATCCTTTTCCAGGCAACACATTATTGAAACTTAAAATGATACCATTCATTTTAATTTGAATATGTAGACGTTCAAAATAGAAAAAAAAAGTGAAAATCTCCAATTTGCAGTAGACAAGTTTAAAAAGGAATGACAACCAGAAATACTGTTAATCAATTAGTATATACCACATGGATAATTAAAAGTTGTTAGTGCTAAAGGAGAATTTCACAGTTTTGACAAAAGTAGATAACACTTGCCCAGGGTGAACACTAATAAAATCATAATTTCCTTATAAAATGTCTGTAAGTCTTCAAAATGCCCTAAATAAATAATCAACAAGGTTTATATAACAAAAATAAAAAACAAAACAGAAAATAAGAACACAGAAAAAAACAATATCCTGGAAATTCATTAAGGGGGGGAAGTAGGGGGGAGGGAGTTGCAAACATTTAATTACGGAATTGATTGATTAGAAAATATCCTACTGTGTCAGATGTTACAATTCATTAAGGGAATAGTCATTCATGACAAAAAATTTTCAAAGTTATAACTGAATATCCTTAAAATTGTATTTCAGTGAGGTAAATGTGTTTTAAGTATTAACATTAAATGAAGGCAAAAATGTGAGGATTTAACATCAGCAATAACCTTGTATAAATATATCTATTATAAAAGTAAGTCAATCATATAGGGCACAGATCATATAATCAATATAGATAATATAAATTGTTGGACAGTTCGGCTTAGTGTGTATAAGGCAACAGTGCAAAAACTGTGGCTTAAATTGTCATGGTCAAAGACATATGCTTTTACAAAGCTCTGGAGACATAGACTATGCTTCTTCAAGTTTGAGAGTTTAACTTCACACTATATTTTTTTTCACTTAGACTTGTTAATCAACTGAAGGCGATTTCATCTGGTGCACTAAAGGCAATCAACCAATGGCTGAGAGTTAAAGGTGAACTAATTTATAAATCAAAATATCAAGCATAAACAAACTGAATTGTATTTGAATACATCTATTCTAAATATGACATGCAGATATTTCTTTTATATATTTTTTTTTTAAAGAATTATATTTCATTTTCAATTGAAAGCAGAATCGAGATATATATTCTCCAATAACAAATGTGTTATATATTAGCAGTGTACACATGAATAAAGATTTCGTTTTTCTTCATAGAATGATGTAAAAGATATTGATGGTTGTATGCCATTATGAAAAAGTTAAACAAGTATCATTGTTTAATGACTGTCTACTAACTTAACCATTAAATACAGGACTAATTAAACGGTATACTATTTTGTTTTTCTTTTTGACCTGGCCTAATCAATTCATTTTTTTTCTTTACCTCTTTCAAAAAGTTAAACAGATGACTTATCCATGTTGTAATTAACATATATGAGCTTAGGCAGGTAATTTTTTAAAAGCTTAATGTAACATAAAAAAATAGAAAAAATTTAATTAACAACACACAAACAAAAGGTGTTAACTATATACAATTGTTTACATCAATATCTTGGTGTTGGTATCAAAATCTGATATTGTTACAAATCTTTCAATTCCTTATCTTTCCTAAGTCCCTTATACAAAAAACAGAGAGATCTAAGCAAGTTTGTTGTCAATTGAAGCACAAATAAAAATGGACCAAGATGAACACAATTAAATAATTCTGAATATTATGATATTGAAATCCAATACTATATTGAGGAACTATTAAAAATTTAAATAAAGTAAAAATAAAGGTTAAAATTTGCATATTTTTTATCTAAAACTAATCATTTCAATAAACCTGGTACATTTGTATATAAATGAAGTCGAAATATAACAGTATCGAATACTGAGGACATTATGATGAAAGTTTGCAGATTTTTTTTCTTCTAAAATACGAAATATCAGTAAATATATAAAATAGCTGAATTATGGTTGTCGTATCTATATGGTCACCTCAGCAGCTGTGTTCCATGCTTGTCATCTTTGGAACAAAACTGCCGAAAGTCACGGTGTATTTTAGAAGGCGATAGAAAGAGGCGTTGACAATATAATTAGCTTCTTCTTCATTTCATATTCAAAAGAATGCATATGTAATGTGTAGAAGATAGCAGTTAAGACCCCTGCTATAGTGCTTTAGTTCTTCTTTGGTTCAAAGTAGTTGAAATCAATCAAGAAGGTAGCTCCCAACAGTAAAGCCTTCTGCATAACATCCAACTCCATAGGAACTACAACAGAATGGTGAAATTGACAATATTACAGTATGACACTCAACTCCATAGAAACTACAACAGAATGGTGAAATTGGTAATATAACTGTATGACAATCAACTCCATAGGAACTACAACACAATGGTGAAATTGACAATATTACAGTATGACATCTAACTCCATAGGAGCAACAACTGAATTGTTAAACAAGGACATATCATCATCATCATCATCAAGACCACACACCCATGTTCATTTGTAAAATAAATACATTGAAAGTGAGCAACATGGAATATTGGAAAAGACATCAGTCAATCAGGTTACATCAGTGCAAAGAATTTGCCAAAAAATCTTATCATTCCTTCAAAAGATAATGTGCAAAAAGAGTTCACAGAGTGATTAAAGAAATCAGTTAATCATGTCACAGCAGCCTCATTAAATATGTGTGAAATTCACTGTTAATCAAACTTGGGCAAGGGATTAAGGTAACACAGTCACCAAGCAAGTTTCATAAAAATCCTACCAGTCTTTCAAAGGATGTCATGTGGAAAGCAGAATTCAGACAGACAGAACCCAGTTGAATATCCCCTGCCAACTTTGTTGGGCAGAGAATAATAACAAGGATTCTGCAAAAATTTTACACCAAGCAGGACAAAACACTACCAATCTTGTACACCAGCAGGGTAAGAGAAAAACAATCTGTCAACTTATCCAACATCTTTGGTGAAATAGTCTGACAGCCTAGATCACTTAGTTGACAGATATAGGCTTTCTAAGATGATGATATTTTTTTTTTATTAAGTCTAATTACGAGACACAAGCAAATAAAAATGTCTGTATACAATATAATCAGGGCTCTCACATCCCATTTTGGGACTGGGGCCCAAGGCCCTTAGAATTGGAAAAAATAGCAGTGTTTTCCTTAGAATTGGAAAAACTTGGGGTCTAAATGGGGGAAAAAAAGATACTATTTTGCATTGGGAATGGGGCCAAATATTGGCCCAAGATCTGACAGATCGAGAGCCCTGATAATAATATCCATTAGCTGGTTGGACATACAGGTGAATTACAAGTTAACTGTTATGTCGCTCATCACCTGTAAGTTATTTTGTGTTGACAGATGCCGAGGTAAAATTGTGCCCTCATCCTAATTTCGGACTGATATGTTACATCACAACGTCAAAGACAAAACTTAAGTTCATTATCATTTATCATGACAATATATTCACTTTCAGCTAGGATTGGTCTTGATCATATACTTACATGTGACCTGGAAATCATTGACACCTCCGAAAATTTCTCGACATCCTCCCCAGTGCTTGACTATCTGACCGATCTGCTGACCTTTGGCAATATCTGTGATCTGTAGGTAGGAATGTACACTGAGATATTAGTAACATGTACACTTTACAGTCCCCTTTTTGTGGATGAGGCGGGGGATAGGTCTATTTTTGTGAATGGGATGGGAGATGCCGAAGGTACCCTTTTCTGGATACGGAACGAGTAATGGGGAGTCCCCTTTTCTGGGTGAGGTGGTGTTGGTAGAGATGGGGGGAATCCTTTATTGTGATTGTGGGGTGGGGTACCCTTTTGTGGGTGGGGTGTGGTTCGGGGTAGGAGAAGTCCCCTTTTGTGATTAGGGTAGAAATTCCTGTTTTTATACTTTAACCTATGATGTCACATCAACTATACAAGGCTAGCAGGGTAAGAGAAAACAATGTCAACTTATCTAACATCTTTGGTGAATTAGCCTGACAGCCCAGATCACTAAGTTGACAGCTACAGGCTTTCTGAGATGACTTTTTTTTTAATTCCGTCTTATTACCATAAATGATGCGGTAAATATTTCTCTTTTATTCCATCTTCCTAGCTTTCTAATATAACATCCTTTTATCTCAATGTCAAGCATTGTTGATATGTGATCATGTGATTAATATAAATTGGGACTATTTCAGAGATATTTCTTCAAATAAAAATTTTCAACTGACAAATATTTCCCAAGTACTTCTTCAGATAAAAATCATTATGCAGTATTTTGAAATAGGGAATTTCTATAGCAGTTTTTCAAGGTGAAATCACTATTTTGATTCTATAGGGTTAAATGTTTTTTCTATAACAGTCATATAGTATCACATTGGCAGCCTTGCAGTAGTACCATAATTCAACATTGATTATTATATGAAACAAGGTAATGAAAGCTAATGTATAAATTTTCAACACATCTTTATATCAAAGATAGCGATTTTATGAAATGGGATTTAAATATTATAAAGTCTCAAATTTCAGAAGTTTTTAAACAAAACATGGTGTTTGTGTGTGAAATTTAAATCAAAAAAATATCCACAGAACCTGCATTCTTCAAATACAAATTTCTGAGTAGATAAATTGAAAATACACGTTATCAAGTATTTTACCGTGAACATGATGTCAGTACATGGGCAACAGAAACAGCATTCTCCATCTATCTGGAATAATGGAGTCTTCTGTGCATCGTAAACTTCAAACTTGGGTTTCCATGGTGTCCATCTGTTTAAAAAAATTGTTTCATAAAGTAACACTCGATTTCTAGGTTTTAAAATTTGGGAAAAAAACAATTAATGGTTGTGGAGTGGAATTTATACAAAGTACTGGAAGCACGGAAATTAATGACCAGATCCAGCTATGTAATTCAACATACCGTATTCGATCCATTGCACACCCAAGGCAGTTAAAAAATTACAATTAAGGGCGGGGGGGGGGGGGGGGGCCACTTATTAGAGACCATCTTAGATGTAAAAGGAACACATTCAGTGCTAAAAAATCGGCCTCCACCAGGACTTTCCATCTCCTTTTTGAGGCGTTTTGTAAAGAGGTTTCAATTCACTCTTTTTGTCTCCAATCGCGAATTCGCTTCCTATCTATACCGTACTGCTTTGATGTTTTGCTATTTCCCCATTCCTTAGCAAGCTCCACAACTTTTAACTTGAAAGAAATTTCATACGACTTGATTCGGCCCCCTTTGTTAGATTGTGATGTGTCTGTGGTCACTATAATTTCAGTGTCAACCTCTATGTAACAAGGTTCACTCTGTCATTATGTGCTCGTTGATAAATTGTTTCAGAACATCTTAACATGATGACACGAATGGGAATTTTTGTTCATGATAAAGATATAAAATTCCATTCATACTTGCCTGTTTTAGCACAACTATTTCATTTGTCATTTGATATCTAACTGCTTCATTTCTTTCTGTCAGATAATCTATCACACATGAAAATATCATTTCTTAATCTGCTGTATCAATGGCTATCTTACCTGTTTAGTAATGGACTATGCCTATCCAATTGTCGTTACTGTGCCTGAGCGTGCGACACCAACGGTGCACAAGGTAAAGGTCATCTAACAAGTGGTTTAGGAATGTGTGAAAAAAATGTCTTTTATGTATGAATATTCATCTGTGGTCAGGGGATATCATGCTTATAGAGAGTGTTGAAAAACCATTCATAGGACAGTGCCTTGATACAGTTACTGAGGGTAATAATCCGTTTGACAAGTTTGCAATCAGTGTTGTGAAAGAAGGGAAAGCAGTGGGTCACATTCCAAGTGAACTGTCAAAAACAACTGATTTTTTTATCAGGCATAGTGGGAAAATTGTGGTAGTAGTTACAGAGGACACTTATCAACATTCCTCTGTTGCTGGTGGACTGGAGATAAACTGTTTTTTTATGTTTTTCTGGAGTACATCTCCTTATCAACCGACTAAAAACAATTCTTGATCGTGACTAATACGTAAAGTAAATCTAGACTTTTTGGTATCTGAAGTGGGGAGGAGGCACTTATAGGGACATGGACGCTTACTGGGTCGAATACAGTACATCTCCTGCAAACATGTGCAGTAACAAATATCATGTATTTAAGAATTTAAAATAAATGTGCCTTTTATAAGAATTATTAAAATAGCAATTTAAGGCAATTGATTATAAAAGCCTGCCATGTTATACCAAAATTTACTGACAACTCAAGGAGCTGTCTGTAATGTAACTGATACTTTTTAAAGTTGTACTTACATTACACATTTTTAACTGAGTTCCGCTTCATATAATTCATAAATTTAGTCTGAAGTTTTTTTATTTTAAGCGAAGTGGAATAAAAACATTTTCCATATTGGAAAAACTTTCTAATCCTATTCATCACAAAATCTTTTTTCCGATTAACAACGAAAATGTGCTCTTCCGTTTACATCCTTCGAGTTTGTCATGATCTACCTTTATGTCATTGTGACATAAACAGCTAGTGATCAGCAATGTTATTTTTATCACCGCAACATCGCAGTTAGACTAAAGATGTTCATACTGAGAATTTTTGACTACAAGAAGCTAAAAAGATAGCATTTTAAACCAAGCTGACTGTCCCTAGTGGTGTTACACACAGGACAAAAAAAGCCAACCAAATATTGACAGTAAAGGAAATTTTTCAACTGTTTTACATTCAAATTCATGTTACTACAGATACATACAACTGCCTCAGCCCACCAACTGAAAGACCAGGAGGCGACATGATGTCCATTTCCTGTAGATAACAGCACCACATGAAGCTAGCCTGACATCTAAAAGGCCGATACAGCGAGATCAATGGCTGAAAGTTATTGTCTGTGATGTTCATTGTGAAAGGTCTGGAAGGTCCACATAGCTGTCTCGTACAGCAATCAGTGTCTAAAATAGGAAACATATGAAGTTCTTGCTAATACATTATTACATTAAACATCTTACCGATCTGTATTTTTTGTTTTGTTGATTTTAAACTGGATGTAAAATGAATACAAAAATGATCAGGATACATTTCATATCACACATGCACAAATACTGACTACACATTCCACATACCCTCTTTTGCGTACATGAACTGCTGATCTTGATTGTTGCAGATCTTGTATTTGTTATTCCTTTCAAAACCAGTGGCAACTGAAAATATAAAAATACTACATTTTTGTCATGTTTCAAAAAATAAACCCTATTGCATCAAAATCCCCCCCAAAAAAAATTTTTAAGACATTTTTGAAGACCAATGAGCAATAACAAAACATTTGGTGTTTTGTTGTATAATACAGCTAGCTTTAATTCAACCAACTGTAACTGACCATGACTATGAATATAAGGCCACATAAATGTATATATATGCCTAAAAACTACTACAGAAATGTTCCCACATTTACATTTCAGGGCGGTAAATTTTATTAGTGTCCAGAGCTAGTAAAGCCATTTTTTCAATTGTCATGATGTTATTTTTACCCAGAACTTAAAACTTTAATTCTGCTTCTTACAATAGCACTCCAGATTGGGGTGTTTTTTGAGATGTCAAATTAAAACAAAAACTTTGGTATTTTTCAGGGATTCTGAGGAATTTTTTCTAACTTAATCATCTTGCCGGACTTTTACTCGAACCCTCCGCCTTTTCTCAGGAAAGGCAGCCATGTCAAGTTTATTTGTAGGCATTATATTCTGTACTGCATCCTTTATTAAACCAATTGGCCTGGCGTTGTATAAGTTTGAATTTTTACCCTGGTTATTTTCATTAAGTTTCCACATTTAGATATGGTAGGGGATTCCCATATTGTGGCAGATTGACCTATACAGGGTTTTCCATAATTTTGTTGTAGTAGGCTGTGTAGTGAAAGTAGGAGGCTGGCCTGCCGTGTACGTGTAGTCGTGTACGGAACATTATTACGGAACTGGATTGGTGTAGGCGGCCAAATGATCAGAGTAGTCAGTCAAATTGGCCGGAGACCAGCTCTTATAGAAAACCTTGCCTATATGTATAGATCCAACTAACCACAGATGTTGAGCTGGTTGGATTTTATTTGTGCCAGAACGGGTAGCTGGATATTTATATTCATAGTTCAGTGGGTACCTGCATCATGCAATTATGAAAAAGACATATCAATCTAAGCATTGTCATGTTTTATTCAGGTAATCTTCATACATTTTAAACTTTCTTCTTTTTGAATTCTGACCAACTCGCAATCCTCAAGAAATAGCAATAACAAAAATTGTTTACGGACAGACAGAGAGACCATGGATCACAGATGTAGGGTGATTTGAAAAGCCAATGATCTTATAATTGCGGGCTAAAAAGTGTGGAAATCCTTTGTTTTTCAAATATTTTTTAAGGCTATTGAAGGAAACCTGACATTGGTATTTATATAGCCCTTCCTTGAAAATTACAGTAGGCTGCAAACCATTTCATCATCTGATTTATAGACACCTGAGTATTTTTCTTTCATGTTAGCTTAAAGTACACACATAGTGTGCATGTTTGCAAAATTTGTGTAAACTGTACATTTAAAACAAGCTTTTTAAATGGAATGGAGTGAATATTGCTACACAATATGCAATATGTTGTTTTTTTGCTCTGCCTTAATTATTATATATACCAGTACATGTATGTGCATATACAGCCAGATATTCATGTCCTGATTAAAATACAGGATAACCACTTGTGATAAACTTAATTTATGACACATCTCAAGTGCTATTAATCACTTCTATTGCACAACATTCAAGTAAACAAGTATACTGAGTATTGCTGGAGCAAAGCATATCCCCTACTAACCCCCAGAATGCTTGTACATGTGCCCTACTAGCCCCCAGAGTGCATGTACATGTTCCCTTCTGGCCGCCAGAATGCCTGTATATGTCCCCTTCTGGTCCCAATAATGCCTGTACAAGTCCCCTACTGGTCCCAATAATGCTTATAAATGTCCCCTACTGGCCCCCATAATGACTGTACACGTCCCCTACTGGCCACCATAATGCCTGTAAATGGCCCCTACTGGCCCCTATAATGCCTATAATGTTCCCTACTGGCCCCCATAATGCCTGTAAATGTCCCCTACTGGCCCCCATAATGCCTGTACACGTCCCCTACTGGCCCCCATAATGCCTGTAAATGGCCCATACTGGCCCCCATAATGCCTGTAAATGGCCCCTACTGGCCCCATAATGCCTGTAAATGGCCCCTACTGGCCCCCAACACTATTACATTAGTACACTTTTGACTTTTAAATATGGTACTGTTTGGTGGTAATTTGGAAAAATAGTATACCATAACATTGTAACTGATTTTAATATAACATACATAGTATTCAGGTCTTTCAGGTGAAAATACAAATAAATATATTATTTTCTTATAGGTACTGTCAGTTTTGCTAACATATATTGGTTTATCAAACTACAAATTTTAAAAATGAGCTACTTTTGGCTTCAAGTGCTTTCAACAGTGATAACTGTAAACACTACAAAAGGCTAACAATGACTTAAAGTGTCATTTGACAATTGCTGATGAGGAAGTAGAAAGATTATAATTGTTAAAAGCATTTAATAACCTGCACAATAACAAGTGTCAATATAAGTGTTGACATGTCCAGCATCAAGTTTACACAAATAGTTCGCCAGAACAAGTCATAAAGGATAATAATGAAATATGAAATTACATAGTGGGAATCATATATAAAAAAATCAAAACACAAGTAATTTAAAGTACCTTGACCTGCAACTCTGATGTTGCAGTCATTGTGACTATATAAATGGTTACTGGTATTTTAGTGATATAATAGCTATATTTCCAATTCCTGTGGGAAGGTTCAAATCCAAGCTAAACAACTAACAGGGAAATGGGATGGTTCAAATACATGCTCATGAGCGATGGGCCTCATCAGCGATACATTGATAAAACTTTTTGTGACTATCAATCTTAAGTGTCCATGTTCCGAAGTTGTACCAGTATTTGGCTTAGTAATAAAATTCACTTGAAGTATTGCTACTTTAATTCAATTAAATTGCCTTTGTTTAACTATTGATAATTATGCAGAGATATTATAAAATTAATTGCCAGCATGTTTTTTTTTTTTGTAATTTGGAAAAGGAATTAATATTTATAAGCTCTAAGCTTGTTTCCCCATTCTATAAGTATCATATGATATGTATGTATTAAATTGTTGAATATTGAATACAGAAAATATGGCTAGTTTATGGTAGCCTTAAACTTCATATCATTCAGTAGGCCTAACACGGTAGCTCCATTTTATGAAACGGACTATACCTTGTTCAACAAGTGGGGTATATGTACTTACGTACCCGTATTATCGATAAACGTTATCTATATTTAGATGATAAACTTGGTGATTTAAAAATTTGACTCTAGCTTTCCTTTCCTGTCACATCACATAATACTCATTGATACATCTCTCATGAATTACTTAAACGATGGCATTTCACGATTCCGAGGTCTTTCCATAATCATGAAAACACAGTAGCCTAGTGTGCTTGGTCTGACCTACATATTGACAGGGACGTAGATAACAGTTATATGATATTGATCGTCTACTGCATACAAGCGTAGCTTATTATTTATCACTCTGTGATGATCTCGTTTCCTAACTAGATAATGCATGTCACTCAAAAAGGAAAGAAACACACAAAAAACGCGCGAATCAACAAGGCACGTGCGCGTCAAACGAGTCTGCAGAATAAAGAGAATTGTGAATTATTATGTCATATCAGAACTACACGATGTTTTTTTAATAACAAGAATTTACAAAATTTGACTTACCTTCTAAGATGTCTAAATGTTGGTGAATTTTTATCTCATTAAGTCCAGCTAAATACTGAAGACCAGGGGGTAAACCCTGAACATTTGGCGGGGGCATACCAGCCTGCATTTGAATAGCCACGCCCGAAGTATCCATGCTGAAAGTCTACAATGTATTTCCGTGCTCCTTAGAAGGATAATATCCCTACGATTTGCTCAAATGATAAAACTATTCAGGAACGAAAAAATGAAAGTAATACCACCTTAGTCGACAACAGCCTGCGGGGACCTCCCCTACGCGCGCAATGACCGAATTTCACAATATTTGTGACCACTATCATCAGGGTTACTAAAACGCTTTAGACTTGCTCAAGTTCGGATTTCATTTCAGTGGTTTTGGACAATATCACGCGTTCGGAGTCGTGTTTTTGACAAACGGCAGTAGGCCTAGTTTATCGTATATATATTTCTATATGGCATTAAAATTGTATAGTCAAATCTATATAATAAGATAGACATATTTAAGACAAATTAAGGTCTACTTAATTATTTTACAGACGTACAGTACAGGTACATGAAAGCTTCCTGCACAAGTTTGCTTGGATCATCACATCATTTACAGCATAAATGTATAGAAGTTTTTTATTCAAACATATTTTAATAAGTAGCAATAGGATTGGGCACACGTTTTAAAACTGATATAAAGCCCTCTCCAAACAAATTGATACACACACATTACATATACAAGGTGACAGTAGGATTTAACGACAATGAAACAGTTGTAAACAAGTTGAGAGATGGGGCGGAGGGGAGAGAGGACGTGGGGTGGGGGTTGAGGGAGGCGGAGGTGTATAACACGAGCTTTATACTTTGTATATATGTAGATCATGCATTTGCTCCTTCTCCATGCAAGCGAAACAAGTGATACTCTGTCCACGTGCCTAAACTCTCTAATTGTCAATGTCTATCAGTTCACGTGCTTCCTCCTTGTCACTCGTTGCTTTCTGGAATATCCGTTTCCACTTGTTCGCTTGCACAGAGAAGGAGCAGGTACATGGTACACATATACAGATGCTTTTCCATTACAATAGTTATATCGTATTTCATCCATAAAGATATCACTCATATTAATAAAGTAGAGTTACAGAGAGTCCATACATGCAGAGACATATGTGATATATACGTCTCTGATACAGGGTAGGAAAGGAAGGGGAAAGAGAGAAAGAAAAGATGAAATAAGAAAACAGAAATGTATACATCAGGATTGGAGTGGAAAATAATCTGTCCTTTGATAGGGTGTGCAAATAAAATTAATATAGATATTAATACAATTTCATATACAACACGCATTCAGGGGGTGACTCATGCTATGAAAATTAGTATCAATTTGTACATTCTTGTAACTGGTACATTGTACAGTTGTATGGAGGAAGAAAGGGATTGATTACAATTACTGAAAGGTACATTGAAATCAAGTAACTTTGTTGTAATAGGTACATTATACAATTGTATGTGAGGAAGAGGGACGAGGGGGTTGACTGATACAATGAAGACAAGTATCAATTTGTACATTCTTGTAACTAGCATATTGTACAATCGTACGCGAGGGAGAAAGGTGGGGTTACCATAAGTGAAAGGTACATTGAAATCAGGTAAAGTTTTGTAAAATATATATTATGCTACTGTATGCGAGGGAGGGAGGGAGGGGCTGATGCAGTGAAATCAGGTAACAGTTTGTAATGGGTACTATTATGCGAGGGAGAGGGGGGTGCTTGTACAATAACATCAAATACCTATTTGTAAGGACATGTATACAATGTATATATATAATAGATAAATATCTGTATTTTAAGTGTGATATCAATATGATTTTATTAGCTGAAAACGGATTAAATCCATGTACATTTATGTGTTAGTTTTTGGATCTGTTTTATTATGACAGGTGAAGTACAGGTTAAACTATGTCATATACTAATATATTTCAAATTCATGCAAGATTTTGAAGTCTAATAGTCAAACTTATTAGATAACAAGGTCTAAAACATTTGATATTGCTATATTGAACTCACTGAATCAGGCACTATTCAAGAGCGAGAGTCCTCAGGGCGGAGCGACGGGAGGACATCATACATATGGGAGCACGATTTGATGAGTATTTTCCTGCCGTCTCCGCCGCGTTTGATGAAGATTCTGTCATGACAAGACCAAAATGAGTCAATCCCTGTCGGACGCGAGTCAGATCTTCTGTAATGAATAGTCTCTCAGAATTACCTCTAAGTTGTCGTTTACAACTAACCACTTCACCTCCCAGAAAAAAGTTTTGTTTGTGTTTACGTGTCAGTTTCTGCTGTTTTTTTTTTTTTTTTTTTGGGGGGGGGGGGGGGGGGGGGTTGGGGTTGTTTTGTTTTTTGTTTGTTTGGTTTATTTTCTTATTCTCTATTGAAGTGAAGGTGATTTATTTGATACAGAAATTGTAGAAGCTATTTCATATCTTACCCATAAGCACAACTATCGAATAACACTTTTCTATCATCTCTTTTTATCGTCTCATCATGGATTTAAACATACATCTTTGAAAGTGTGATTTATTTCTGATTATTTTCTGTTTTCGATAAACAACAGTTCTCCATAGACGACATTTTATCAGTAAGGTAAATATCTAATTGTCGTTCAGTATTTTGGCTGATTGTGGCATAATTTTGGCAAGATATCAAAGAATGCGATTATTTTCATCTAATTGGTATGTAAATGATAGTTATTCCTTTGTCATTTAATGAAAATTGAAACTTTTAAGCAAACTGACAAACGGATAGAGCACAGTGAGCACCCACCTGCCTTTCACAATGGCGTCCGGGGTTCGATTCCCAGAACGGACATGAAAAGGTACGGGGTCACCTACCAGATCACGGGAGTGCAGTCTGGTTTTCCCTCACAGTATGAACCCTCGCGCGCTTCCATCTGGACCAACAAGAGTGATTCATATAAGTTATCTAGAATAACTTGTTTTGCAATTATCTTGTAGGGATTAAAGTTTTTCTTATAAGGATTGAAGATTCTGTTTTATAAGGATTGAAGAGTCTGTCTTGTAGGGATTAAAGTTTCTATTTTATAAGGATTGAAGAGTTTGTCCTATATAGATTCAGCTTTACCAACCACTTATTATCCCAGTAACATTGTATGTATTCTTGATAGTTTTTTTTTATTGCGAGTGTTAAAGGGGGCTGAAGATTTTCAACTTTCATATGCGAGGTCGTGTCATCTGCAAACAGTTTTATTAAGCAATTAATACCAGTTACTATATTATAAATATACTAAAACGAAAAAGAAACGCCGTGTAACCTAAAAAGATTCTTTTAAATGATATAATTTAATGTTACATTATTTCATTCATTTTTGTATACAATTTCATCTGTTTGGAACCATTTGTTGAAGGTTCTATCGACTATCAATGCTAATTATGCTTATACTTGTATTGCGCAACACGGCCGGACATTTCAGTATCTTGTGTGTCCTCCATGCGCAGCTGTCGCAGCCCTTATTCTTCTATGCATGGAATTCATCAGGGTGTTAACCCATGCAAGGCACGTGTGAGCTGGACCAGATTAGTGGGGGCATTTGGACGTCTCCTAACTCTACTATCCAATTCGTCCCACAAATGCTCAATTGGAGACAAATCTGGACTGAATGCTGGCCAATCGATTGGGATTACGTTATTGTTGGCAAGAAATTGCTGACAAACTCTAGCGACATGGGGCCGGGCATTGTCTTGCTGGAATATCAGGTTCCGTGCTTGCACACATGGCACGGCAACTGGGCGAAGGATTTCGTCTCTATACCTTACGCCGGTTAAATTACCGTCAATCACGATCAGGGGTGATTTAAACCCATAGGAGATACCACCCCAAACACATACTGAACCACCGCCAAACACGCGTCGGTGTAACGTTCCCCTCGACGTCGATATACACGACGTCGCCCGTCCGAACGGTAGAGAGTGAACCGGGATTCGTCAGTGAAGAATACCAGTCTCCATTGCCTCATAGGAAAATTTCTGGCGAGTGTGCTTGTAACCAAGCCAATCGGCGTTGGCGACGCGCAGGTGTTAGGGCAGACCAACATAGGGACGTCGGGCTCTTAGGCCATTGACGCGTAATCGGTTTCGAACCGTATCAGGATGAATATGGCGGTTATGACTGCCTATAGTGTTATTTGCAGTTTCGGTAGCTGTGAGATGGCGATTACGTAAGTGAGAAAGTCTTATAAACCGATCCTGATGTGGCGTCGTGACGCGCGGACGTCCACTTCGCGGTCGGTCGATGACCCTCCCCGTCACTCGCACACGTTAGACAAGACGTTGAATTGTCCGAATATGCACACCAAAATGTGCAGCAACCTGAAGTTGGCCCTGACCCTGCAAAAGCATTCCGTCAATCGTGGCATGGATGTAAATTGCTTAATTCGAATCAAACTTTGAAAAATCAATCCGAATACTTGAACAGTATCAAATAGACTGAAAATTTCCATTGGCGAACTCAATGACCTTCCCCTGCACGGGATTCTTGTATTTTAGCACGTGCCTCGCACGGAGCGCTGAGGTCAGGTATTGTGTGATTTTAAACATTTTAAACGCGTACCTAGTGACCGCGAACAACACATCAACCTGACCGAGTGTCATTATTCTAGGCCAAGCAATAAATCATTTGTAGTATATTTAGTGTACCCGGCGTTTCTTTTTCGTGTTAGTATATATAATCCTTTATAAGGACTTAAGTAATGTCACAGATACAGAAATAACCAAAGGCTATTTAGACCAGGTATCGAATATTGCTGGGTTAGCCAGGGTCATTATGAGGCAGAGTATCGTTATAGTAGCTGGTGGTTACTCCAATGAGGATAATACGGAAGGCCCATCGTCATTCAGTTCAATTTGGTAAGTTGTCTTGCACAATGATACAGACATATTCGGTTCGTTTCTCAGCTTCCTATGGACAAGCCACCATGGATAGGAAGCGTGGAACCCCGCACATGGGGTCACGTAGGTCATTGGTTCAAACGACTGAGCTGTCGCGGAGACTGTTTTCGACATTCTTGTATGGTTGTTGTCAATTAAGCTTAGCCTGCATCATTTAAAGAGGGTCAATTTAAGGCCGCTTAATTTTTTTTCAATGACATCGTCGAAGACTTTAATTGTTTGTTTGTTTTGTTGTTTACGATCCGTTTCTATACGTAAAAGTGCGTTTGGCGCGTCAAAGTGACGATGTTTTGAATAATTCTGAATGTTCACAAGTCTATTCTTTATAAGTTTAAACTTTATCTTTATTCGGAAAACTTGAACAAGTACATTTGTAAAGCATGTATACATGATTTGATTCGGAAGAGAATACTAACTTACAAAAATACTGAACCTTAGTCATTCTCTCCTGATAAATAGTACATTGCATGTGATTTATGGAAGACTGCTTTTATCTTATCTAGCATTTGGCGAGAATTTAAGACCGGTTTCCCCATCTATTCCTTAATTCTGGCAAATATTGTAAAAAAAAAACGAACATTTTCTCATCAAAGTTGAAGGCATTTCGGCATAATGTATCATCAGTGCAGATATTTTGACACCACGATCGATTTCAGACTGGTGCAGCTAATGAAAAACGCCACAATGTATATTTCTCCATTGACGTATTATATGATTTTCGATTTTTGGATAAATGACAATATACTATGTGTATATATAATATGTTGAGGAATTTTTAGTAACAGGAGTACAAATATTGGTAACACTACCTATTCAACAACAAACCAACAAAGGTGTCGCATTCTACATCTAGAGTTTACACGATACGTATCCATAATTTATTATATCACATAGACAATGTGAGAGCTTCAGGTTCACTTTGACCAGGACAGTATATTGTGGGAAAATTATCACAATATGAAAGCAGTCTATAAATCAACACTTTTACAGGTAATACAAAGCGTAGCCAAATCAACTACAATACAGTGCAACTTCCCCAAACCAATCCTTCTCAAAGATGATCACCTCTTGAAACCGATGACGTCCACTCTTTTTACAGTAATAAAAAAACTTCTCAATACCGATTGCTCTCAATTCCGAATACCAGACCAATTTTGTGTCCGAATTGTTTGAAATATACCAAAAATCACCTCTGAAAACAGGTCTTACTTGAACGATCAAGACCTTAGTTTCGACCATCGAACCGTGAAATTCTTGCGCCCCCGACGTGTACGCCTGTCCTGGGTAGACTTTAACTATAGTAATAACTAATTATAACAGCGAGCGTAACCAGCGCTTTATGGTATTGGATATGATAATTCAAAATCAACGAGCTGAAAACTTCGAAACCATTCAACTCCACGGAACTCTCTGTACATATTAGGTTAGTGCCCATGAAAACAGATAACCCTCTTCACAAATTTCGATTTTCTGGATCAGTGCTCTGAAACCGTTCAAGATAATTGCCCAAAACTTTTTTAAACTTATTAAGCTAATAATGTGTTTTGCTTTGGGGAGGTTCTCCATTTCAAAACTTTTTCTGTTACCATGGAAACCGATAGGTCAAATCACAAAGTTCAGTTTTTTTTTCAGTCCAGTTCTCATAAACCGTTATTCAAAACTTTGTACAGACATGAAGCTAGTACTCCAGTAGAAGTTCTCCATTTGAATATTTTGTATGGAACAATTAGAAATAACTCTTGTTAGTAAAATACAGTATATATGTGTTAGTTAAAAGTTACATATTGTATATACATAGTAAACCTGTAGTAAGAAAGCAAGATGTCACAGATAACAATTTGGACTGGAATATCACGTGATGCATAAATATCATACATAATATTGAATCAATTTAAACAGCTCCAGCCTTATACATATATATAATAGTGTAGCAAAGAAAAACAAAAAATGACATAAGAAAATACCAATAATATAAAAATGTGTGTTTACAAAGTTGACACAAAAAATACACTGGAGGATAAACAGTTAATTATGGGTTAAAATTTGATAGGTAAGACAATAGGATAATAATCTGCTAAAATATTGAATAGACTTAAAACAGTTCTTTAGATAATTTTATTATGAAATCTGTTCATCCATGCTCCATGAGGTGATTGCTGAAAGAACGTTTAAAGGAGGCAAAACGTGTTGCCGTCCTTACCTCATTCGGCAAATTGTTCCAGAGTTGGCTTCCTGCAACTACAAAATTATTCCCATAAAACTTGGAACGATGTTTAGGAATATGTAAAATATTGCTATGGCTTGATCTTGTACATCTGGTATGGAAATCAGACTTTTAGTCAAACTACATAAATAATCTGGAACAAGATGATGGACACATTTGTATACCATTGAACCTGTCCTGTAACGATAAAAATCAGCTAATGACAACCAGTTTAAAACACAAAACAAATCATCAGATGGAGTGTCATATGGTACATCTAAAATCACCCTTGTTGCCTGCTTTTGAGCCTTGTAAAGCATTTGTGACAGATTTTTGGACATCCGCTCCAGACTGTTGAACAATACAGGAAGTGGGGGAAAACACATGCATTAAAATATTTGATTCTAGCGTTCCTTGGAAAGTATTTCTTAATTCTTCTCAACAGACACAAACCTTTACTTAGTTTTCCTAATACATAGTTGACATTATCTTCCCAGCATAAACACTTATCAATTTTTACATCCAGTATTTTAGCAGACTGTACCTGGTCATGCTCTGTATTGTTTAAAGACAGATCTAAGACATAATCATTTCTATTATGTTTCTGCTTTGTGGTTATAACCATACAGTTTGTTTTGTCAGCATTAATAATCATTCTATTTTCCGTACACCAGTTTTCGACTGCATTAAGGTAACATTGTAATTTATTTTGGACATTTAAAATAGAAGAATCAGAAGCTGATAGAGTTGTGTCATCAACGTACATATCAGTTTTATACTGTATTTCTAAGGGAAGATCATTTATAAAAGTTAAAAATAAAAGAGGTCCCAATATCGATTCCTGAGGGACTCCATGAGTAATAATCAGGCTTTGGGACAATTCACCTGAAATACTTACTTTTTGTAGTCTATTGGTGAGATAAGGTTTAAACCAGCTCACCGCTAAATCATTGCACTGGTAGAGTTTCAACTTTTGGATTAAAACTGATCTACGCAGTCAAACGCTTTTCTAAAGTCTAAAAATATTTCCTTGATCAACTTCCTGTGTCCATGAGTTAACAATATTCAGTGAGGAAGTTTCACAGGAGTAATTTTTTCTAAAACCAGATTGAGAGGACACCAACAGGTTATTTGCACATAGATATTTGTAAAATTCACAGTGTACATGCCTCTCAAGAATCTTAGATAATGCATTTAAGACAGATATGGGTCTAAAATTGGACACATCTGATTTAGATCCACTTCTATGAATTGGTAAAACTTTTCCAATCACTAGGGAACTTACCAGACTTTTTAAGGAAATAGAAGCATAGCTAGTTTCATCACTTTCGTGATATATGCATTTCTTCGGCGTCAAATGTTTGACAAAACTTTTGAAAAATCCACCTCTTTGACATATAATGTTATCGTACACTGTGTTGTGAGCTTCGGATATCACAGTTACTTATATTGTGTACAGATATAGAACATAAAAAGTTTAAGGCAATCGGGTCACGACCGTAACTACACTCTAACATGTAGATACAAAAATGTCCGTCATTTCAGAACAGAAGCAGTTTCGGTATGGTTTGTAATTAAAGAGTTATGTTTGTGTCTTCGCTATGTTTTTGATAACGAATAGGTCATTCATTTACAATTCGAAGTCTTGTCTTCACTTCTAAGAACTTCAATCCTAGCCTGTTTCCATTTCATCTGGAATAAAAAAAAAGAATAAAAATGAAACATTTTAACGAGAGACACAAATAATTCAACAATGTTATAAGAAATAATAATTTTCGCTCTTTGTCAACAATTGTTTTCTACCTAAGGTAAGAAGTAAAATTAGAGAAAAAATCCCTTTTTAATGTTTTAATATAACTTTTCCTTGACCCTCAGATTTCGAAGTTTGAAAAAAAAACTAGAATTAATGAGTAGTTATTTGTACGAGTTACAAAAGCCATTGATAACATGAAACTAACGTCAAGTTTTAACAGCATTTTTTAAGGATATATATATATATATATATATGTAATAATAATAGACTTTATTTCTTTTACAACAATCGCAAGCACGTTTTCCCAACTTTTATTAATCACTCTTGTTGGCTCTGGTGGAAGCGCGCGAGGGATGGGAGGAAACCGGAGGACCCGGGAAAAACCAACGTGGTCGGGCAGATGACTCCATACCTTTTCACATCCATTCCTGGAATCGAAGCCTGCACGGTTAGGTGAAAGGCGAGTGCGCCACCCGACCACCCTACCATATATATGTCAATGCATAGATAAACATTAAAATGAAAACTATGCTCAAGAAAAATAAGACGTTACATTATATTTTGATGTCATTGCTATCCATCTTTACCCTGTCGCAGTCGAAGAAGATCCTCTGTCATAGCAACACGGTCCATGTCACATTCTTTGGCCGCGCAATATACACGGTTCAGCTGGGAGCAGACTCCGGATTGGGTACTCCAGCTTGAGAGCAAAGCAAAGGTAATATTCCGTATTCCATTTATCTCCGCCGTTGTACATTCGATCTCTTCAATCTCCAGGTCTAACTCGAGGAAGAAGATCAAAAAAGATAGACCAATTCTTTTCGTAACTGCCCTTATCTCCCTTTCAGTAAGAAGGCGTACTGACATATCCAATTGACATTCACCTTTCAAAAACAACAAGAAAAATACCAACATGTTGAAATCATCACTGTTCAAACTCTAATACAATACAACTAGTGTAATTTGTGCACAAAGAATATTCCTGAAAAAAGTACAAGGGGAATATGACCAGGTGTTCCAGAAGAATGCGCGTTTTAATACAATCTTTAATTGTTCGCTTGTTCATATTTCTCCATACTTTTATAAAATTTGAGTTTGGATTATAATGATGTAGACCTGTTCGTATTTTTTCATATATCGGTTAACGTAGAAAAAATATCAATATGTTCACAGAATCTAAATTCAAACTCGAACTCACTAAACTAGGACAAACTATTAACAAAAGGAGCAAAAGAAAGATTTAAACGAAATCATGTGCAAAACTACAGAAGAATAAAACAGAACGTTTCAGAAGGGTAACCGTCCTCTGTTTCACAGATGAAATCTGTCTTGTAAATTACGTTCAATCCAATTAATCAATATCAAGTTCCCAAATGAGAACAGGGTAAACAATAACGGAACCACCAGGTACACTAACAAGCACCAAGCACGGCTTCATAACTTATAAGGAGAATATTTGCCAATGAAATCATTAGGACGAGCGTAAAACTTCTCCAATATCTTCATCAGCCAAATGTAAGCAAAGTGAATAATTATTTCAATGTATCTATATCTATTGCTTATATTCTACAAAACTGACCATGAAATAACAGCCTTTAATGCAGTTAACTATTGATATAATACTGCACACTCAACCTCCGTCAACAAAACAACGATAAAATCAGACACTCTTTAACATTGATGATATACATTGAAATGTACTCTAGACTTATTTTCCAATATTGGCCTAAGAGTAATTTGTTTTAACATATTTGATTAATTCTAAATATTTAAAGACCATAAGTTCGTACCTGTAAGGTGTTTGATGTAAGTATGCATGTTGGTGTCGTTATAATCCTATATCCCATTATTTGCCATTTTTTATATTCATGAACCAGATGTCAGAAATGTATACGTTCATCAAATAGGTATGATTAATTTTTCTATGTCTAGTTGCATTCGGTTACTCAAATATGCAAATAAATCCGAAATTTATTTCAAAATTGGTTCTAGGATTTTAAGATAGAAACAAAGTTTACACCTAGTCTCTCGATATTACTAGAAAGTCACAGGAAGGCAGGAATGCTCATGTTTCTATCTTTAGTGTGACCTTGACACTTTGACCTTGACCGATAATGATCAGAATGCGACAGTGTCTAGAATGATGTCATGTATAAGGTTAACAGTGTATCTCCCCTTGTCATAGCAAAATCCTATTTCTTTCAAACATTAGAGAAAGATTAATAAAGTTCAGAGATGGAATAACAGTATTGGTTGCGTTTGAGTTTCAACCTTATATTTGATATTGAGGGGAAAAAGTCAAACATTAATTTTAACTGAAATATTTACCATCGTCTGGTGTATACATGGTTGATAGGGAATCCAATTCTTCACACAGCTCAATTGTGTTAAATTCTGCAAACTGCATTGCCTTGAGTATGTGTTCGAAGATAGCTCCTTGTCCTTGTCTGTTTCTCCATTTGACAAGCAAACGCGTTACGTAGCTCCTGTGGCAAACTTTGGGACAGGAAAGTTGCACAGCTTGCATGTCTTGGGTAGTTAGTCCGAGAGCAGTAAATAATACACAGAAGTCTGCCCCTATGTATTTTGCCACATGACTGAGTTCCTTTGGATTGAGTCTTTTCTTCAGCATTGCAACTAAAATGTTAGAAATATGCCAAGCGATATGTGTACAATGTATATATAAATTCTTAACCTCAAGCCAATATTCAGATATAACCTTTACATGAATTTATAGTTATAGTCATTTGATTATTTAAAAGCAAAAATACATAACTACGTTATCCCTATTCATCGCAAATTTATAACATTTAATGCCACTATCGTGTGTATTGTTATGGATCTATGATATTGACAATAGAAAAGTTCAACAAAACATTTGTTTAATTACGTTATTTGATAAACAATACAAATTTGATCATCTGTGAAAAAAGTAACTTACGATTTACTGGATCCTCTGCGGACTGCTTGAAGAAAATAAATTCATTACATTGAATGAGAAAAAAAAATCAAAAATAAATTTTAATTTTAATTCCGATTATTATGTAAATGTCGCCTATAAGTACAAAATCATCTTTTTGTATTTTTTTTTATTATTTCTTATTATTAGCCTTGATAAACTGATCAATTATTTGGATAGCATCCCCAACCTATGGTGTTTACATGTCGCAGGTGATTCGATATGCAAGACGCAAGTCGATGGAAACTATCCGGAAGGTTTATGGGTGTCAAAGTGATCTTATTGAGAAATACGGTGTATTCTGTTTCTGTGTGCGATGTGAAACTGGTCTTGTTTCGTACTCGTTTGATTGCCTCTTGGTCCCGTTGTTATATATTTTGTTCTCATTTCAGAATGTGATATTCATTACTTGGATTGACCAGTATTTGCTTAGCGGGTTTCGATGATTGATTAAAAGAAGCAGACGCTTACTCTTCCTGAATACCTGGTCTTATTCTGCTTGTGCTTTTGCAGAGATCTCCGTGTAGATCTTTCTTTTGTTTATATTTGGCATTGATTTTGTTGAATTTGATTCTGGATTATGAATACGTTGATATGCTGGTGTTTTCCTGTTGACAAAAATACAGCAACAGCGTTAAAGAACGAGAAAATGACTAGCGACCCTAACCATACAGAGTAGAATGAGTTGAAAATAATAGGAAATTAAAAATCAACAGAATCGGATGAAACAACTGAGAACAGATAGAAAATAGATTAAATATGTAAACAGAAATCAGTAGTTTTGTTACTTACTGCTATTGGAGTACTAAACCAGACTGCCCAGCCGGGGTCGACCATGTCGCAGTGATCAGTATTACGTGATACGGTAAGAGGTAACTTGCCAGGAATCACGTAATAGGAACTATCAAGGCAATATTCAAATGAGTCGACGAGGTGCTGTAGCTGGTTTGTGATGAAGGCATTGTTCAACAGAGATGCCAGGACATTCTTTGCGTGGAAACCCTCACCTGGGTTCACTGTTGTTTCCTTCTCTGTAAATAGAGTTACTTTGACAATATTGTCGTCACAATGGATAATCATATTCCAGCGTGGATTTAGACGGAAACAGCCAAATCCCCTTTGAAGACAATATGAAGGATCCATCCCCTGTATTTCAGCAACCTGAAAACTGTGGATGCAGGATGCGAGTAATTTGTCGTAGATGGGAGAGGAGACAAATGCATCCCGAAAAACAAACGACAATGTTGAGGATTTTGTTGCCTTGGGATTCTCAATGATGTGTCGTAGCTTCTCAGGTTCTGCGTTTGGAAGGATGCAGGGCACTAGGAAAACATCCTCAACTGTCTGGCCATCTTTAGTCAATGGACGAGTAAGAAGTTCTAGTCGTTCCATATAAAATACAAGTACATCCTCGTGTGCAGAAAACTTGTCGTTTTCATTGCCTTGTTTTAAAAGTAACCTGACCAATTTCATAGGTATTTCCCCTGTCTTTTCGTAACGTTCCAGCATGTCGGACGTCTCCGTAGTGCTACGGTTGGCGTTTTTTACGGTAATGATCAATCGAAAACATCTTACTAGCCATGTAGGGTCAGTAACAACCTTGCTTGTCGTATCATCAGTAGCCAGGTATATCACTATACCAGTGCGGTGTAAATAGCTGAAAAAGTAAATGTATCAAATTCACATACAAGTTGATAGAAATTCCAGGTTCTACAGCATTGGTAAGATATTGAAGATATGACGTTTGCAATTAATATACCTCAAGCAATCCTTGACACAATTCTCCTTGTCAGTGACATCAAATTCAAGGTTCTCGGCGATTTTGCAAACTTCCTGAAAAGTCAGAACTTTGACATTGTGAAGTTTCTTCAGCATGATTTCTCTTTCGATTGCCATCCAGGCCAATGGTACCGGAGTATGCCAGTGGGATTGGCGCGGTGCAGCATCCCTGACAGCTTTCCATAACTTCTCGACTGTCTGAGAACTCATGTTTACACCATCTACAGGAAAGAAATTCACGACGTTCCTTTCCACGATTCCGACCAGTTCGGAATTCTCTACGATATCCTGATATATTCTATTGGCCAGTTCATGTTTTTCGTTGTCCCTCTACAATTCAAAGAACCGAAGATCAGACTTCATAAATTGCTTTGCTTATCGTATGTGTACAAATGTATGCATTTGTGGTGTGTCATATCCATAATATCTTAATTGATATCAGAACAACCAACAAAGATGAAATGTATTTGATGCAGTTTTGATTTAGAAGTATAAATATGTTCAGATACAAGACAAAATTCGCACATTACTAGTAATTCATCATTGTATATAAAGTTGTTTCAAGAGGAAATGTTCAGAATATTATAGGTAAGGTTAACTGGTCAATGTGACATGAATGAAGGTATACATGATTCTATAAATGTGAATGAATGATGGATGGTTAATAAACGAACGAATGAAGGAAATTAATTGAATATGAATAATATAAATATATATTGAACTTCTATATACCTATGTCATTGCCTATTAAGTCTTTAAGCATTGGTCTGTTGGTCTTTGTAGGTATATGTGATTTTTTTCAATTCGTGATATGAATTATAAACATTTGAATCTACCAACCTGTCCTGGCAGCTTGTCAAGGAATGTGCCAATGAGAATCACAGGTGGAGTGCTACTCCCCCGATAAGAACCAAGATTGTCGATGGATTTCAGCCAAAATGTTACTCGTGCTGAAAATAAATCATGCGTCTTGAAACATGCCGTTGAAAGCAATCAATTAATGCATAAAATAAAGTTTCACATATACATGTACTTTTGAACAAAAAAGATTTTTTGTGTAAAGGTAAATTTATGTAAGAAAAAATAAACATTTAATTCTTGATGTCCGACATACCACGCATACGTCCTGTCGGGTCCTTGCATTCGGTCAGGTTGAAAACGAGAAAATACACCGCATCACCGGTAATAAATAAATGGTTAGTGTTCAGGAACAACTGAAAATATAATTATATCAATTTATGTTTTAATGATTGCTTCGTTATTCATTTTCCTTCCTACTATGGCCATCTCTACAAACTGGAAATTCGCTTCAGTGTAAACATTTTTTAACATGACTGACCAAATCAAACAATCATTACACAATGCTACATAAAATTGTCAGAATTTATTTTGATATCAAACACTGATTTGATGGTAAAACCTAAGACCGCTAATACAATACAATGATGGGCTAATCAGAGTTATAACATATAATTTAATGTTCATCATTTGTATTAAAATAGGAGTTAGTATGTTAATCATTAAAATAATTCTTCAAATCATTGAAATAATTATTCAATTGTAATAGTAATATATACATCCAAATAAGTCCAAAACGCATCAAGGGAAAGAAAATTTTCGAACGAAAGTGAAAATTATCATTACACCTAAAAATACTACTTACCTCTTCGCCACCAAAGTCCCACATTGACACAGACGCTTCATTCACATCCTGGAAAAGGTGCTTTGATCTTACATCCATCTCGGCAAAATATTTAAAAGCTTTCCTTTGTTGTATATCATCAAACTATATGAAAGTGCACAAAATAGAAAGAGTTAAAAACCAACATTGATTCTTTATTTTCGCTTTCAAAATGCGTTTATGTTGAAAATGAAAAACGTTTAATTTATTCATCCGTTATTACAAATCTAAAAACTGTATACCTCTTCTCCCCAGGTGCGTCGGCTGGCATATTGAATAATGTCTTTCTCAAGGAGAATCCCAATTTTAAACGGCACATGATGTTATCTGTCTAATGCTTGGTGTTCTACAGAAACTCTACCTTGTCATATTGCATACGAAATGGTCAAATGAAGACAACTTGTTTTCTGAACGTATAAACTTTTGGAAATATTTACAATTACAATTTTAATGGTTTGGTAGCACCATCAAACCGTGGGAAAGTAGAAGGTAACTGGAAATATTTTGAAACACACAGCTTAATCTTTTATAAAACAATCTTGATTCTTGATCATCAACATCCATAAACATATAAATATTCTTTACCTCGTCTCCACTCAAACTCAAAATAGAATCAGGTGTTTCTTCAATACCCTGGAAACGACGCTTTGATTTAGCTTCCATTTTTGGCTGCTCATGGCTGGTATCGGTCATATTTTGCAGGTGTAATGAATCAAACGCTTTCTCAATCTTTATGATATCATCATGATCATCATACTATACAAAGAGATTTGAAATATTTTGAAATAAATGTGCACACAAACAGTTTAATATCAATCAATCTGTTCCTTGTTCCCAGAGACTTCTTCTAAATATATAATGGTATCATTAGCACGATTTACATTACTAATTTTGTGAAACAATGTGTATGTGTGGTTGAACAACAATCATTTTAGCAGAAAGCATACATGAGTCTTCAATGACTAGAGAGAGAATTTGAATGATTAGCTTTCGTTTTAACCGTTGAAGCATTCTTTAGAAACTTGACAAATTATCAGTTTTGAATTAATTGTTATTTGGATTTATTTCAATATTCACATCTGTTATAAGCTTAGCTTTCTGTGATTATGAGCAACTTCAGATGTGTCGGCTAGCTTATAGATTAATGAATTAATTTTTCACAAGTAGGATTCAAAGGTGAAGATGTATTATTTTACCTGCTGAGGGATGGGTTTTCTACGGGTACTCAGTCCTCTATTTTTGGTTAAGAAATCTACCAAAGGTACTTCTTCTTGTTCATATGATGTGCCATCCTCATTCTCTCTAGTGGCGTCGTTCGCTGGCAATTCAGTTACGGTGAGTGGCAGATAAAACTTCGATCCATCTACAATAGTTTGCATGACACATACAAAAAGTGGCAGAAAATCAAAAAGGTCATTAAATCGATACCATCATAAACAAGTCTAATGTCGGAAGGTAATGACCTTTGTACTAATTTTATTTTAAATCTGTAATATTGGGAAAAGATCATGTTATACAATTGACCTTCTATTGTGAATGTTTCGTTTCTAACATCTGTGTTCCCAAAACTTGGGGGTTTAATATCGGTTCAAGTATCAAGGACTTGTTCCCAATAAGATGTTTTCCCCCGAAGATGCCGCCAGCTAGAAGATAATCTCTTGATACAGGGTTTTGAAAGACGTAGTTAAATCAAGATTATGACAAAGTTGATGGCTAACGCCACAATATCTAGGAAATGCTTTACTTCCTTGTGCAACATGAAACTGAACGTGTTTTAAACTCGTTGGTGATCTAATTATTGTTAATATTTTTCAATTTTCAGAACGTGACATTACTTACTTGTTTTGACCACGGTACACATGAAGGGTATAGGTGATGAAGCAGAAAACGCACACCCTTCCGGAGCAAGTGGTTTAATTATCGGTGTATTTTGTCCATAATTTTACAAAAGCCACACAAAAATAAAACATTTAAATGCAATTAAAGTATTAGATGCAGCATAACCTTATATAGGTCTCAGTGGAAATCATTCGTTTATTCATATCTTGTCCTCTTTTTTGAGGTTTTGACTTCGAACTGATTCTCTACTGTCTGTACTTCCATGATGTTTGTGACAACGAGAGGACGTAATCCTTATAAACTATTAAGTACCTTAATACAGTGTAATACCTGTATCGTATCCTCTGATATCGATTCGAAAGAACCTTACCATATGCCTGTATCATGGTACTTACTTTTGCCATCTTCGTCGTCATCGTCGCGGTCGTCAAAATCTAGTCCTTTCAAAATAGAAGCAAGTGTTTCTTCAATACCCTGGAAACGACGCTTTGATTTAGCTTCCATTTTTGGCTGCTCATGGCTGGTATCGGTCATATTTTGCAGGTGTAATGAATCAAACGCTTTCTCAATCTTTATGATATCATCATGATCATCATACTATACAAAGAGATTTGAAATATTTTGAAATAAATGTGCACACAAACAGTTTAATATCAATCAATCTGTTCCTTGTTCCCAGAGACTTCTTCTAAATATATAATGGTATCATTAGCACGATTTACATTACTAATTTTCTGAAACAATGTGTATGTGTGATTGAACAACAATCATTTTAGCAGAAAACATACATGAGTGTTCAATGACTAGAGAGATAATTTGAATGATTAGCTTTCGTTTTAACCGTTGAAGCATTCTTTAGAAACTTGACAAATCATCAGTTTTGAAATAATTGTTATTTGGATTTATTTCAATATTCACACCTGTTATAAGCTTAGCTTTCTGTGATTATGAGCAACTTCAGATGTGTCGGCTAGCTTATAGATTAATGAATGAATTTTTCACAAGTAGGATTCAAAGGTGAAGATGTATTATTTTACCTGCTGAGGGATGGGTTTTCTACGGGTACTCAGTCCTCTATTTTTGGTTAAGGAATCTACCAAAGGTACTTCTTCTTGTTCATATGATGTGCCATCCTTATTCTCTCTAGTGGCGTCGTTCGCTGGCAATTCAGTTACGGTGAGTGGCAGATAAAACTTCGATCCATCTACAATAGTTTGCATGACACATACAAAAAGTGGCAGAAAATCAAAAAGGTCATTAAATCGATACCATCATAAACAAGTCTAATGTCGGAAGGTAATGACCTTTGTACTAATTTTATTTTAAATCTGTAATATTGGGAAAAGATCATGTTATACAATTGACCTTCTATTGTGAATGTTTCGTTTCTAACATCTGTGTTCCCAAAACTTGGGGGTTTAATATCGGTTCAAGTATCAAGGACTTGTTCCCAATAAGATGTTTTCCCCCGAAGATGCCGCCAGCTAGAAGATAATCTCTTGATACAGGGTTTTGAAAGACGTAGTTAAATCAAGATTATGACAAAGTTGATGGCTAACGCCACAATATCTAGGAAATGCTTTACTTCCTTGTGCAACATGAAACTGAAC